ATTAAATATGTAAGTCCTAAATAACCTATAGTATGTGGAGTCTCCATTTCTACTGTTGTATCTGAGAAAAAAAGTTGAACATGCTGATTCCTTTCTTCGGTCAAACTTTGTGAAATAAATAGTCAAAGAAAATCAACTGTATTTTCTCTTATTCTTTATGATTTATGACGTTGTAACTGTGACATTCTGCACAAAAGAGAGGTGCAGGACTTTATATTGTAGTGAGAAATGATCCCACAGTGGGTAAAAACGTGACAGGAGCAAAAACAACCAGAAACCACTTGGCTACAAAACTAAAATTTCCCCTCATTGTCCGGAGCTTTTCATTTCAGTCTAAATGAGTCTAAATTAGTCTGTAACTAGCTATAATTGTAACGGTTAAGTGGACAACTTTTACCCCTTAAAACCGAACCGATGCACTTTATGTCTAAACTGACAAAGTGTTTATTGTAGAGGTGGAGCTCACATCAACTAAAACTTCCCGACATGACTTTTCTGTGTAGTTCAGTAAATTCTGTTTTAAAAATTCTGCAAATTTCAACATTTTTTTCCAACAAAGAGCTGATAAAACATCCCACTTTGTATCAAAAATAAACACTAAATAATGAACTTGCTTCTGAAGACCCTCGTTTGTGGAGAGACGGACGTTCACCTGGTTTCCTCATGATGCACCTCTGCAGACACATCTGTAGTAAATACAAATGACTTTCATAATTTCATGGGTCTGATTTTGTCAGAATCCAGACAAACTCCTTTTATGCATTTCTGAAATATATCTCTACTTTCTGCATTCACTGTAAGATAGTCGTAGAAACAACAACTTCACAATATGAATTATTAAAAGCTAATATATAAAAATCTGCCAGTGTTATCGTACCAAATGAAGGACGATCTGGATGTGTGACTCGTTCTTACAGTGACCATGATAAGAGCTTAAACATAATTAGTAGTAAGATAACCCTGGAAACAGCCTCGGGCTCGCTGGGTTTAATAAACAATGAGCGTTGAATTATTTGCATTTTGAGAAGCTTTAGGATTATTTTAAAAGTTTCTCCTTTGTTGTCGTGAGTTTGACAGCAGAACCAGAAAGTTAGTCGTGTTTTTACCTCCTGGTGTTTCCGACATCGTCCAAATACTTTAACGATGATTGATAAGTTGTTTTATAAAACTAATGTACATTAGCTGCTTCTGCGCTAATTAGAAAATGTGTTATTTCTTTGAGCATTAATTCGAGGAGACGTGAGAGGAGATGACAGTTTAATTTTCTTAGATAGTCACCTTATTAATTTACGTGATTTCATGTCAAATAAATTTTATTAATCTCCCATTTAACCATTTAAGAGTGTATTTTTAGTAATGTACCGTGGAAAACTAATTGAGGTGTTTTGTTTTTTTGAGTGTGCAGATGTTTACGTGTCTCATCCAGATGTCTGACAAAACACTTCAGTGATTCATGTTCTTCAGAGTTTTGTTTTGATTTCTTTTACACTCTCCTTCATACTCCTGGTTGTCAGTAAAGAATAAAATAAAATAAAAAAAACTAGGTATATCACTCCATCAAGAGTCTCTAAGATATATCACAGTGGCAATAAAAAGCAGTAGAAATTCCCAGTGGAGTAATGGAGATGGAGTTGTTTGATGGTAATTATGTTTTCCCCAGCTTTTCCCTGCCTGGTGGCGGCGGAGAGGATGATTCGCTCTGGGGTGTGTGTGTGTGTGTGTGTGTGTGTGTGTGTGTGTGAGCGTGTAAATGGATGCGTGATCCAGTTAGAGTGCTGGGGGACTGAGAGACGGCGCTCTCATTTAAGGTTAGACTGGAATTTATGATCCTGAGATGCGACAAGAGCTAATTTAGAGCAGCACGAATGAAACTTATAGACCGGGGAGCCATGATTCTTTCATTTCCAGCATTACAGAGCACACACTCTCTTTCAGGCGCGTGGGATGTGGTTCAGGCTTCTTCTTCTTCTTCTTTTTTTTTTTTTTATCTCCCCGTATTGAGCCGCAGTGATTTCATTGAATTTTTATTCGCATGTATTCACTTTCGATTAGTTTTAGTTCCAATTGTGGACTCGGCCACTGCAAAAATTGAGCAGCGCGCTCGCATCTTTTCCATCAAAACCAATTTCATTCAGCAAATACTTTATATTGGACTCTTTATTCGGGATTTTATTCAATTTGCCCTCTTGGCTCGCATCATAACCCGGTGCCATTACTGGCCACAGTATTACGGAGAAACAAACAGACAAAAGGGCTTCACAACACATTGGTGTCAGCTAACAGCGGTGAGGCATAAACCGTCCTGTCAGTCGGACTCCATGTTGTTGCTGGATGCGGTTATCTCACCGGTGAAGCTGAAACAAAAGTGTTTTGTCAATAAATATTTCTAGGAATCTTATAAAAATCTGCTGAATTTTGTACATACAGATGCAAACCTACGTCTATGTCAAAGCTGCCAAAGTCTTTTTTTTTTTTAAGATGGCGTAGCTACATTTTTAATTATCCTCAGCAGCTAGCGTTGGAGGCATTATGTTTTCAGGTTGTCCATAAGTACACATATCCATCCATCCGTCCTATGAAAGTGTTTTTTTTGCTAGCTTGGATCATTCCAAACATTAGTGCTTTTAGTTTGTAAATCTGCGTTCATTTTCTAACTGTATCCTGTTAGTAACTATAATAGTAAGAGTTTAATTTGTACAGCACAGTTCATGCAATTAATGCAACTCAGAGGGCTTTAGATGAAAAAAAGAGATTAAAATCAATCTAAATCACAAAAATCTAGTCCATAATAAAGCGAACAAATAGACGAAAATTATGTGATGCTACCTAAAAACGACATCCTTAAAAAGCTGCTATCTGCTGAATTAAATGTTCTGACGTCCTCTGGCAGCATCAAGCATTTCTGTACGTCTTTAGTTCTGCTCTGGGGAACGTTTAGGAGACCAGAGTTAGAGGGGCCCGACCAAACCAGCATCTCACATAAACACTCAGGAGTTACTTCAGGAAGAGGTTTAAAAACTAAAAGCACATTTTAAAAATGAATTCTAATATGAACAGTATTGACTTTGCTGCTTTGATAAGAAGCTGTGTCTTGGATCATCTGAAGTTTGTTTAAAGGACAGAAAGCAGAGAACCTAAAATATAACCGTCTGACATTAGTGTAGAGAATGTTTAAACTTTAGTAATCTGGATAAATTCATTCGCATAAAGTCAGTACTGATTGTACTCAAACCCAAAGTCAAGACAGACAAACTACCAGAAACCAGAAAATTAATCTGCAACACCTTTAATACCTTTGATCATTTAAGTCGTTTGTCCAGCAAATACATTTGTGAATATTTTCATATTTTTTGCACCGTTTAGGCTGTTGGTTGCACAAGACAAACATTTTGTCAACAGCACTTACACAGATTGTGACGTTTTTCAGAGTTTTCCCACATTTTCATGAAGTCAGCCGTCAGATGAATTATTGATGAAAATAATAATTAGTTGCAGCTCTATTATAAATGACATTGTCTGGGTTCGGGGTGCTGCAGCTGGGTGCAGAGTGCTGCAGCGTCCATTCTTCTTGTGGATATGGTTCAGTTAACTCTGCACATAAATTATCCCGCGGATTAGTCCACACAGAACCTCCAGAGCAGGCAAAAAAAGAAGAAGACAGACAGGGAGGAAGGAAGACTGGAACAAAACCAACAGGAAGCCTAAAAAAAAAGTGGATCCAGGAGAGGAGAAAGAGAAATATAGAGAATGAATGGAAGGCTGATGAAGGCCAGACCCGCTCGCTGAGTGCTCAGTCGGCTGGAATAAAGTAGTAAGTCAGTTTCTTGATGGCGAAGGGGAACCGGGACAAATCACCTCGACAGAGGAGAGCGAAAAGGGCACAGCCGAAGTTGAAAGATGAGGGGATGAGAATTGTAATAGATGTTCCTCTCTATTTAGTTCAGGTTCATGCTTTTTCCAGCTGCCTGGCATCTGCGGAGATGGACGGTGGTCCGCTGGGGTCAAGCTGAGCCGTCAGCTGTGGTTCTAACCTCTATGACTGTCTGAATTGAGGGTATTTTTCCCCTCCAATTATCTGACTTTCTTCCCGGTCCTGATCCGTGCTCGGGGTTAGGTATACAGCCAGCTACTGAGGGAGTCTCTGCGTCACGTACAAAGTGTTTGGACAAACTGCTGTTTCTGTAGAAACAGACTGACCCGGTGAAAGCACGCAGTGTCTTTATGATTTTATACAATGCTGGTTTTACCTTGAAGCACGGCAGAACTGTGGCTGTAAAGAACTGTACGCAGTCTAACAGAATCACAATACTTCCTATTTTATACTGTATACATCTGTTTGTCTTTCCTTTTGTGTTATTTTACTTTATTTTCTTACTTGTATATTGCTGCTACAACAATATTTCACTGCTGTAACTGTGTTTTTAGCAATAAAGAACTATTCTATTCTATTCTATTGTGAGTTCAACGGCTTTAGAAACATGATGCAGTTTAAATGAACTTCTTGTTGTGTTGATAACGGGAAGTAAAACATGTACAGATGCATATATTTAGAAAACACAGAATCTGAGCTTGCCACATTTGCAGAAGTTTGTTCAGAAATGCTGAACCGCTGCCAAGTTAAGAGCTGCTCTCAATCTGCAGTGGTTCATTTTTTTTAGATTGAAAGTTCAGACTTCCTCAGAACGGAGGGACTTGATTGTTGTGTCTCCTTTAATGTCACGTAATATAAACAAAGTAAAGATGCCTCCATTTGAGATCAAATTTCCTAGAAATGTTCTGTAACTGTCCCAACATTTGTGACTTTGGGAGGTCAGACTCTTTATACGTAGCTGCAGGGTCCTTTCTTCAGTTCTGTATCTGTTCAGCTTGTGCACAAAAATGTCATCATCAGCTCCGTATTGGTGGAGCGATTGTTAGTTCAAGACCAAAGCCATGCAGACTTCTGTGTGGACAGTACGTGGACCTGACCTGACCCCCTTCTCCCTGCTCGTCTCTTCCAGGTGGCCTCCCGTACGAGTTTAAGGTGGTGATCGCCGGGAACCACGAGCTGACCTTCGATAAGGACTTTATGGCCGAGCTGGTCAAGCAGGATTACTACCGATTCCCGTCGGTCTCCAAACTCAAACCAGAGGACTTTGACAATGTCCAGTCGCTGCTCACAAACTGTGTGTACCTGCAGGACTCGGACGTCACCATAAAGGGATTTCGGATATACGGGACGCCATGGTAAGAGCTGCTTCTCTCTCTTCTGTCCTCTCCCCAGAGCTCGTCACACTCAGGCGTCTTTTGTAAAACGCCGAGTCACGTTTGTGTCTCGCCGCGTCGTGGATCCCCGAGGTGAAGGTGCGCCTTCTCCTCTGTCGGCGTCTGGCTGATTTCCAGCTGCCCTCCCCGCACTACTCTGCTGTTCGCTCTCGGCGAGGGGCCTCCCTTACATGCAGGGTGCTATTCCCAGCTCGCACATTCCTTTATGAGCTCAGGACCTTCGCCTGCTCCCCGGGCTTATGTTACACCTGTGTTTTGACACAGGGTTAAGTGATACGCGTGGTACCAGGACACTCTGTCAATAGCCTCTCAGGTGTGGAAGAAAGCGCCGGGGGGAAGGTGTGCTCGGTCGAGGGGTGCCGTACGCAGCGTGCATTCAACGTACGGAGGAGGGTTGTTAACGGAAAAGATGGAAGAAAACTCTCCTGAGATTGCTGCTGTATCCACGAGCGTTTATGTTCTAATGCAGGTTTATTCAGAAGCTTTAAAATCTCACTCTGTTGGAAACCTTTGTTCATGAATTAGCATCGTTTAAAAAAACGGATGTGGGAGTAAAAACTGGCTTGAAGGAAGAAACAATAAGCGTATGGCTGCAGCTAAAATAGAAGAAATAGAAGAGTCCAGTTTCATATACATATTCATACCTAATTTGTATATATTTTGTTGCCTTTTTATTTATTTTTGTAAAGGATGCCATGATACTTTGACCGTTTTTCTAATTAATTTTCAGCTTTCCCCTCCCCCCAAAGGGAAATTCATCTCGCAGGAGGTGAAACACACAAAACATTAAAAAAAAAAAAAGAGAGAGAACTGGTGAGACTAATATATAAGAATATATGCAAATAATTAACACTTAAATGTAAATAAATTACAGCGCGTATTAAAGCAGCTGCATGACAGTCATCGCTGGCAGTGAGAGTGGATTTATAGGAACGTTAGAATATTAGAGCCGCGAGACTTAATTGATTACTGATTCCTCGGTTTGAGGATAAAGTAGAAATTCTCAGATTTAATGACTATTTTTTTCCTTTGCTTACTTTTCTGTGACATTAATTTAAATGTTTTTGAATTGTGTTTTTTTGTGGACAAAAAAAGACGTTTACAAACATTTTGTCCAATTTTGAGAAACAGTAATTGACAGTTTTGGCCATTTTCTACCGTTTTATAAACCAAATAACAACTAATATTTCATTAATAGAGAAGCTAATCGACATTTTATTACGCAATGGGAAATAGTCAGTAGTTGCGGCACTATAATCCCAACAACATCATTGACTTACTTTGACAAAATCCAGGAATTTAGAATAATAACTTGGATAAAATTTTGAATTTTGTCAATTATTTCTATGAATCAATCAGAGTAATTTTTGTCATTTTAGCATTTGTATGCAGTAAAACAGAAGTTTCATGTTCTGCAGTCATCCGGATCTCTTTGCCTGAACAGCAGTGTGTCCCTCAGCGATTGTGTTTCCTGCTCTTGACTCTTCTCACCTTTTGCTATGAAGTCAAAATGAAAGAAACCACAGCGGCCGAGTCTGAACTCGGTGCGTTTGAACACTCTGACCTGGTCTTCACTGCAGCTGCGAGCCTCATTGTGCGACAGTCGAGGCGGACGCTTCCCCCTGTCCTGCTGTGACTCTTCCCCGCACGGTGGACCTAAAATAACTATTTAGGTCACACCTTCATCCTTTTGGCGGCTATAATTAGCAGGTTTTGGCTTCAGAGGTGCTGCTAGAGGAGAGGAGCAGGGGCAGATCCCAGCATTCCTCAGACATCACAGCAGCAGCAGCAGCAGCAGCAGGATGAAGGGATTACTGCCGATTTCCCCTCCATCCTTCCTCTTTTCCATCCTTCTGTTTGAACGAGGAAGGATGCTACCCCCGCTCTCCCTGGTGGGTGTTTAGTGTGAGGGCTGGTAAGTGTCTGTTGTGACAGCTGGGGGTCTCGTGAGGCAGAGTGGACAGCTTGGCCGCCCGTCCCCCCCCCGCCAGCCCTGCTCGGCTTCCTCACCTCCTTCACACCCATATGCCGCCGTGGCCCGAGGTCTGGCCGGCTTGTCCAGTGTGAGGTCTCACTTAGCCCCGCAGTGACCCCTCACTTCATCAGCAGCTCGCCAGCTCGCCGCCTGGGTGGCCGAGATCCTCCGAGCCCCGAGCGCTCCGCTTCTGCAGGCCTGGACGCGACAGCATCAGTCAGGAAATGTAGCGTGTAACAACCACCTGATAAACGCTGCTGCTGCTGCTGCTGCTGCCGCCTTAGAAACAAGTTTCACGTTAGGCTCGCTGGCCCGTTCCCCTAATCACACGTCTGCTTTCAGTGATGGAAAACGTATTCATATCCATCCAGATTATACCAGCCGATATGTAGAAGATCTCCACTGAAAGGAATAATTTAATCCATAATGTTGCTGAGTAAATAGATGCAAGAAGAAAAAAAAAACTGGACACAAGTGGTTCAGAAGTATTAATTCTAAAGAACTGAACAGAGTGATCAGTGCTGTAAATGCTGATTATCCTCTTTTCTGATGCCTAAACATCCACAAAGTGTTTTGACAATGTAGGTCGTCCTGGTCGAGTTTGGACTCTACAAACGCATCATCTCTTTAATTCTCACCATCGTGGATTGTTTAATGCGTGTAAATCTCATCAAGTCTCTCAAACAGGTAGCACTGCCTGCCGTCTTTATGCGATTAGCTTTCTGTAGAGAATTAGGCGTTTTTAATATGACTGCACACAGGAAAATACTAATTGTCATTTGTGTTTAACCACAAATGGACCAAACGTGCTGCGTGACGTTGGAATAAACCAACGTAGTTTTACCACAAAATATGTGAAGAGTTCATTTGCAAAAACAGATAATTCTATTTGTGTAGATTTTCAGAAAACTTTTTTTTGTTGTTGTTTGCTTGAGATAAAATCAATCAAACTGAAGCTGAGTGGATTTGACTCAGTAGAAATGACAACAGTAGAGATAACTTCAGTTTGATTGATGTTGTCTCGGGTAGACGATGGAGAAGTGGGTTTTCTGAGGGTTTGTGAAGATGGAGTTCTCTGTTTTTGTAAATGAACTCTTCATTTATTACAATATGATAAAAATACAGGAGTTTTCATTAGATTACTTTAATACCTCTGTTTGGAAAGAGTTCATCATTCCAAAATGATTGTGTTGATTTTGTAGTGAATCTGCATCAAAAACGCAAAATAATTTACGAAAATCTTAAAAAGCCTTCTGGAAATGTTCTCATTGATGTACGTTTTCGACTTCGGGTGTCAACAAGATGCTCGTATATGTTTCTGTAGCCAAAATATTTCCGTACATAAGCTTTGCTTCTTTCTGCAACTGCATCGTCCATTTCCAGTTTTTCTTTCTTGTCATTCGCTCGGTTTGCTGTGCACACGTGGAGCCTGCATGCCAACTAACTCCCTGTCTTGCAAACACATATATATTTAAATTCAATGTATTCAAGAACCCTTAAATCAGAGTATATTAGATAATACGACAGACTTCTCTTAACGATTAGTCGTGGAACATGAGAAGAAAAAGTTGTAGTACGATGTTGTGTTTGAGTTAATTAATCTTACGTGACTGTTGCACGTTTGCCGTGTCGATGCTGAAACAATACATCGTGCCTCTCTACATTTCAGAGCGTGTTCGGTTGCAGCCCTGCCCGGCCGTATTTATAAAATGCCAATCACTGGAACAAAATATCATCAGGAGCCAATTTCCTTGTTTCTTCTCGTTCTAACAAGAAGTCCGCTTTGCTTGTTTCTATTCTGAAAGCTTGTTTGCTCTAAAGAAACATTCTGCTTTTTGAATCCATCAGTCGCTCCGCATGTCAGATGAAAACACTGATGGAAACGCATTTTCCCGAAGCGACGTCTCCGTACAGCACAAGTATTTAGATTACAGCCACCAGCACAGTGGAAAACAAAGTCTGAACATTATCTTTACGGCCGCTCTGTGGTGTTTTATAAAAATCTAGTGAAACAAGTATTTGTTGTTTTTTTTCCACAACCGCTGCGTCAGTTCGACAGATTTCTGCCTCAACCGCAAACAAGACTCTTGAGTTTTCTCAGAAAGTCGTGGTGAAGCAGCAGGTTCATACACAATGCCACTACAGGCTTTTTTTTTTTTTTAATATTATCTGTACAAGACGGAAGAAAACACTCTGCCCTGACTGACTGATGAGCAACATTGCACCCTTTTGTTCCATCCCTGCTTCCACCGTCGCCGTTATTCTTTATCAATCCATCATTTAAATGTCTGTTTTAAAGGTCTTATGGATAAAAATGACATTCTGCCGCAGCACTTCTCGCAGCATAATCCCTTTTGTAATTATCGGAAGCAGGTTGTCGGTTCAGCGTGTGGCCATTTACGGCGGAAAGATTTGGATAGAGCGGCTAATGCAGCTTGTTTTACGGCGATAATCTGCACTTTTCCCACGGCCGCAAGTTTATTTTTTGTCTCCTAAAAACTTGGGAAGTTAAACTCTGCTCTGAAGTCGACTCTTCGGGGATGGAGGTGGATTTGAACGAGCTTTGCTCACTGACGTAGCTTTTTGGTTACTTAAATATGTGTTGAAATTGTGCCAACAAGTTGCCGCAGTTAATTAATCTCACCAGAGTATTTGAAAAACCAGCTATCCTATATATATATATTAAAAAAAAAGCATCTTCACAGTTGAAGGGAAACTTGCCCCAGATGCTGGAGCTCTCCTTGAGCTGTGGGTTTACTGCTGGGGGGAAAAAAATGAAATGTTTTCAGAGAGGAGATTTATTTAAAAACAGAGGCGTTAAGGATTGTGAGGTGAATTAAAATTCCTTAAAGTACATTTTTTGTTGTCAGAAGTAAATTATAAATTGCAGTTTTCCTTCCCTTTCTGACACCATTTAAGCAAAGTGAGAAATCCCGTGGCCTTCATGAAGCATCATTAGCCAAACATGTACGCACGCTTTCCATTTCCCCTCCTAAAACAAAACCTTTGCTTTAATTCGCCGCAGATTGCTTTCATGCAGACGAGCGTTGATCTGAAAGGCTGCAAGGAAATGTCATTTTGTCGTTCTCTTCTCTGAACTTTATCCACTTGCAACTGAATTAAGAATTGGAATAACATTAAGATTCTGAGGAGCAACAAACCGCGGCGTCTGAAACGTTTTTAATAAATGTTAAATCTTCTATTAGAGAGCATCCTT